CCTCCATGGTCGATTCCCCCTCCGGCGGGGCGCCGACGAAGGCTCCAAGATGGGATCTCACGGATACAAAAGGTTACGGCGGTGGAAATTGTTTTTTGTTGGCTCCCTAGATGTTTTCGGGGTACGTGGGTATATAAAGGAGGAAGAAGTACGTCGGTGGAAGCCTGAGGGGCCCACAAGATAGGGAGGTGCGCCCTACAGGGGTGGGCGTGCCCTCCACCCTCGTGGCCGCCTTGGCTGCTTCTTGGCTTGCACTCCAAGTCCTCTGGATCATGTTTGTTCCAAAAATCACGCTCCCGAAGGTTTCATTCCGTTTGGACTCCGTTTGATTTTCCTTTTCTTCGAAACACTGAAATAGGCAAAAAAACAGCAATACGGGCTGGGCCTCCGGTTAGTAGGTTAGTCCCAAAAATGATATAAATGTGTAAAGTAAAGCTCATAAACATCCAAAACGGGTAATATAATAGCATGGAACAATCAAAAATTATAGATACGTTGGAGACGTAACATGGTGGAGCAGCGGTTCTCTGGCAGGGCTTCGCCAAGCTCAAACGGAGGAGGAGAGATGTTGGAGAGGGGGAGGGTTGCGCCTTGGATGTGGTGCGGCTACCCTCCCTCCTTTCATCTATTTGTAGGGTGAAGGAGGTAGGGGGCCGGCCCCTCTAGATGAGATATAGAGGGGGGGCGGCGGCCATGGGGAGGGGGCTCCCCCCCCCCCCAAGCCAAGGGGGCGCCCCCTTTAGGGTTTCCCCCCAACCCTAGGCGCATGGGCCCTAGGGGGGATGGCGCCCAGCCCACTTGGGGCTGGTTCCCTTCCACATACAACCCATAAGGGCCCTCTAGGGCAGGTGGCCCCTCCCGGTGGTTCCCTGGAACCCCTTCGGTGGTCCTAGTACAATACCGATAAACCCCCGAATACTTCCAGTGACCGTATGATGACTTCCCATATATAAATCTTCCCCTCGGGACTATTCTGGAACTCCTCGTGACGTACGGGATCTCATCCGGGACTCCAAGCAACATTCGGTAACCACGTACAAACCTTCCCTATAACCCTAGCGTCATCAAACATTAAGTGTGTAGACCCTATGGGTTCGGGAATCATGCAGACATGACCAAGACAACTCTCCGGCCAATAACCAACAACGGGATCTGGATACCCATGTTAGCTCCTACATGTTCCATGATGATCTCATCGGATGAACCACGATGTCGAGGATTCAAGCAATCTCGTATACAATTCCCTTTGTCAATCAGTATGTTACTTGCCCGAGATTTGATCGTCGGTATCCCAATACCTCGTTCAATCTCGTTACCGGCAAGTCACTTTACTCGTTCTGTAATGCATGATCTCGTGACCAACTACTTAGTCACATTGAGCTCATTATGATGATGCATTACCGAGTGGGCCCAGAGAAACCTCTCCATCATACGGAGTGACAAATCCCAGTCTTGATTCGTGCCAACCCAACAGACACTTTAGGAGATACCTGTAGTGCACCTTTATAGCCACCCAGTTACGTTGTGATGTTTGGTACACCCAAAGCATTCCTACGGTATCCGGGAGTTGCACAATCTCATGGTCTAAGGAAATAATACTTGACATTAGAAAAGCTTTAGCAAACCAACTACACGATCTTGTGCTATGCTTAGGATTGGGTCTTGTCCACATCATTCTCCTAATGATGTGATCCCGTTATCAATGACATCCAACGTCCATAGTCAGGAAACCATGACCATCTGTTGATCAACGAGCTAGTCAACTAGAGGCTCACTAGGGACTTGTTGTGGTCTATGTATCCACACATGTATTACGGTTTCCAGTCAATACAATTATAGCATGTACAATAGACAATTATCATGAACAAGGAAATATAATAATAACCATTTCATTATTGCCTCTAGGACATATTTCCAACAAGAGGCCCTTGGCACGCCCTAGTGGGTAGTGGGGCCATGGGAGGCTTCTCCACCGACTATCAACTCTATAAATACTCTAAAATTCTAAGAACCCTAGGGGAGTCGGGAGATTAGAGTTTCCACCACCGCAAGTTCCAAAACCACGAGATCCAATCTAGAGGCCTTTTCCGGCACTCTGCCGGAGGGGTCAATGATCACGGAGAGGTTCTTCGTCATCACCCTTGCCCCTCCGATGATGCGTGAGTAGTTTACCACAGACCTAGGGGTCCATAGGCAGTAGCTAGATGGCCTCTTCTCTCTTTTTGATCTTCAATACAATGTTCTCCTCGGTGTTCTTAGAGATCTATTTAATGTAACTCTTTTTTGCTGTGTGTTTGTTGGGATCCGATGAATTGTGAGTTTATGATCAGTTCTATCCATGAATATTATTTGAATCTTTGATGAACTCTCTTATGCATGATTGTTATAGCCTCGTATTTCTTCTCCGAAACTTTGGTTTGGTTTGGCCAACTAGATTGGTTTTTCTTGCCATGGGAAGATGTGCTTTGTGATGTCTTCGATCTTGCGGTGCTCAATCTCAGTGACAGAAAGAGACATGACACACATGTATCGTTGCCATTAAGGATAAAAAGATGGGGTCTATTCCTACATGAATAGATATTGTCTACATCATGTCATTGTTCTTATTGCATTACTTTGTTTTTCCATGAACTTAATACACTAGATGCATGCTGGATAGTGGTCGATGTGTGGAGTAATAGTAGTAGATGCAGGCATGAGTCGGTCTACTAATCTTGGACGTGACACCTATATACATGATCATTGCCTTGGATATCATCATAATTATTTGCTTTTCTATCAATTTTCGACAGTAATTTGTTTACCCACTATATACTATTTTCTTGAGAGAAGCCTCTAGTGAAATCTACGGCCCCCGGGTCTATTTCCTATCATATTAAAACCCAAGATGCCTTTCTGCAATTTTTCTTTATTTTATTTTATTTTGTGTTTTTGTTAAATCTATTTATCCAATCTCATACAATTTAATCTATCTTAATACCGAGGAGGGATGGACAACCCTCCTTACGCGTTGGGTTGCAACTTTTTGTTATTTGTGTGAAGGTACTACTTACATAGTTTGGTGGATCCTCCTACTGGATTGATACCTTGGTTTCATAACTGAGGAAAATACTTACCGTTGTTGTGTTGCATCTTCCCTTCCTCTTTGGGCAAATACCAACGCAAATACAAGCAGTCGGCACACCCCACTCCCTGCCCTAGAGCCAACAGCGGCCGTGCTTCCGATGAGACCACTAGGTGGCGTCCCTCTAACTATTGGGCCCTGCCTATGGTGCTTGCTGGTCCGCCTTGCTAGTTGTGACATGTTGTCTCCTTGTTTTCTTTGACGATAGGCACCAATGCAAAAAATAATTTCATATGCGATATATGCTATGGGAGAACCCATGCATAGTCGAACTATTTTTTTCTTCACTTTACTGCATTGTCTTCCTCCCTTGTCGACGCATTCTTCCTTCCACCATCACCTTGTCCTTCCTCGACCCCATCGACCTTCCTACCTCCATCGGCCTGACTGCCTGCCAACGCCACTGGCGGTGAACATTGCTCCAACTATTGTCTCAACGATCCCTTGAACCCATTCCTTCTCCAGCATCGACAACTGCACCTCGCGCTCACACCGTTTACCCCTTTACTCGCCTATATCAACGACATCGCATCCGACCATATTGCTCTATTGTCGTCCCGTTCTTGGATTGTCCTAGCCGATGACGCCAGGGCGTCCTCTATCTTCGTCTCTTTCCTTCCTCCTTCCTTGTCAATGATGATGCAATGTCCCCATCTTGAGCTTGGGGTTGCATGTTCGTCCTCTCTGAATTGAAAAAGATATATATTAAATATGTGAGGAATAGCAAATGCATCTTTATATAAACAAGTGATTTTTCATGCCGATCAATGTGACTCAAATCGTCGATGTAATCCCTCAGTGCAAACAAAACTTTTCATCTCTCCATGACGGCTCATCTATCCTCTCACCACAATGGCATAGGGCTGCAATGCACCGATGTCTCCTCTTGAAGGTAAATGGCAGAAAATTTGCACAGACTTGAACATCTAACACCAAGTGTTTTCGTTTGGCTGAATGTGATATAATAATGGATCTAAATTTCCCAAATGCATTTCTATCTATTTCTAAATCTGAAGATATGATGATCCCTGGGGAATAGGGGGCTTCCCAGGGCGATTGCAGTCTGGGCCGTGCGATCTCCTCCCCAAGCCGATCTGGGCCGTCCTTTTTCTCACCGTGGCTGCTAAACGGCAACCGGCAGAAAACCAAACGTGCCAATCCCCTCCCGGCTCCGCCGCCACCCCTCCTTCCCCGCGCGGCTCTCCCCCGGATCCCCTCCGCTCCGGCCGCCGCGCTCCGCTTCTCCCTCAGCGCCAGCAGCTCCCGCCGTCGAGCTCCACCCTCCTCCAATCACTGACCCGGGCTTCTTCCTCCCCGCACCCCCCTTTCCCGCCCTAGAGCCAGCAGCGGCCGTGCTTCCGATGAGACCACTGGGCGGCGCCGAGAAGGAATAGATGTAGATAGACGCAGTATATGCATCTTTTACGCCAAGCCCAGCTCCAGAATGGCAGAGCGTTGCAAGATCTCTACTGCCATTGTAGCTGGATCTGAGGAAAGGTCGTGTGTGCTCAAGGTAGATGGATACTACAGAATCAAGGCGCTACACAAGAACGACGAGTGCGTGATTTCAACCCCTTTCAGTGTTGGAGGTCACAACTGGGCCGTGAAGTATTACCCAAACGGCTGTGGTAACGAGTACGCCGATTACATCTCTGTTTTTCTGCTTCTAAAATCTGCGGGAGATGTGAAGGCCAAAGTCACGGTCAGTCTGCTTGACGAGAGATGAGAACCGGTGCCTTCATACATCTCTACCCAACCTGTACGTACCTTCTCAAGGGGCGATTCACACTGGTGCTATGACATCAGGAAGGCTTATCTGGAGGGATCGGATCTTCTGAAAGATGATCGTCTTACCATCAGGTGCGATGTCACCGTCATGAAGGAGATCCATGGCGAAGAAGCAGGGGTTCCTCCAAGCGACCTGCACCAGCATCTTGGCGACCTACTCAAGAACCAGGACGCAGCAGACCTAACCTTTCAAGTCGGTGCACAGAGATTCTCTGCTCACAGGTGTGTCCTTGCTGCTCGGTCGTCAGTCTTCAAGGCTGAGCTCCTCGGCGCCATGGAGGAGAGTTCCTCTGGTCATATTGAAATATGTGACATGGAAACTGATGTTTTCAAGTCCTTGCTCCATTTCATTTACACCGACTCGGTTCCTCCAGTGCTTGATGTGGTAATGGCCAGCCATCTTCTCGTGGCGGCTGACAGGTACAATATCGGCAGGCTGAAGCAGATCTGTGAGGAAAAATTGTGCAATAACATTGATGCCAACATGGTGGCTACCAGCTTGGCTTTAGCGGAGCAGCATGGTTTCCATGATCTCAAAGAAGCTTGCTGGCAGTTCCTTGCTTCTCCCTCCAATTTGGAGGCGATGATGGCAAGTGACAGTTATGAGCATCTCAAGTCCAGTTGTCCATCTGTTTTCAAGGAGCTAATAGCTAGAATCCTCCCGGCTGAATGGAACGCGGCTAAGGATATTGTCCTGACAATGTGGAAGTAATGCCTAGAGACCAATTATCATACATGACATCCAGATTTTAGTAGTAATGGTTAAGCTGCTTCTCCATGTAAGGTTGCGTGCATGTTTCAGAACAAAAATTGCTACTTATCAATCATACTTAATCTACTCAGGTGAGTAAATGGTTATTTTCCTTTCTCGTGAAATAAAAGAAAGTAGTATTATTGAGACAGTCGCCCATCTACGTACCTTGATTATCCATTGTGTGTTAGTTTAATTATTATTGAGTCAGTTACATCATGTACATGTGTATGGTTACGTTCTGCTGGATGCAGAATTAGTGCGTCCTTGTTCCAATGCTCGTATAGATCGTCTAAATTTGGACTTGTTTTGGAAATTAGAAGCTTCATTACCTTGGGCCTTTTTCACCAACTAAAGCCGTTGCAGATGAGGAGGGTTCGGTACCGACCGGTAGAATCAGTCAATCAATCAAAAATGACAAGAGCAGATGACAGCGGGGCTTCCTCACGGTTGCTCTGCTTTGTAGAACCTGACTACAATTGTACTCGCATCCGTCCCAAAATTTTTGTCTTAGATTTGTCTAGATACGGATGTATCTAAAATTAAAATGTAACTAGATACATCCGTATTTAAACAAATTTAAGACAAGAATTTTGGGACGGGGGGAGTAGGTTCTATGTGGCGTCCTTAATACGTCCCTACTAGATGCTTGTGTTACTTTGTTGTGTCGGTTATTGGTACTCATGTCTACTTTTGCACTGCAAACTGAATGTAGAGTATGTATGCCGTGTATGTGGACCTTGTGATCTAGTGTTGTAATAATTCAGTGTAAAGCGCTAAGCAAAAGAAATAAAAAGGTGTGCATGTAACCTTCAAGCATTGACTGAAAATATATTCTGTTAGCTATAGTTGTGATGGATGGAGCGTAGTATATTATTTCGATATGGTTATTGCTGGCAGTGCATCCTGTGTGCCTGTTATGCTGTTGAGGATTGTTCAGACTCAGTTTTCGAAAAGACGGGTTTAAAGGGATTGTAGGGGAAACAGGTTTCTGTCAAGCACAAGTGAATTATATGACCTTTTCGCTAACATAACATACGACATCGTATGGACGGTGCCCCTCAAACCATGAAAATTGCAAGCCATATCTGTGCTTTCTGTTGCTGGAGTAAATCGGTTTCGCACATTTTCTGGTCCATGAAAACCAACCTCGTACTACCCGTGTAGTTGATTCTTTGTTGCAGATCTTGTTCACAGCAGAGTCGCTGGATGTCTGTTGTCTCCCCGTTTCGAAAGACGGTAGGCACCAGCGCAAGTAAACTTTTTCATATGCATATGCAATGCACGCACTTTTTACAGTTTCATTCAGTCGACTGCTCCTCCCGCCTTCTCTTTCTTCTTACTCCACCCTCGATCAGCAACGCCCCACCTCCACCGGGCTACCACCTTGCCGCCCCGTTCATCCCTCTGAACCTCCCTTCTTCGGTGCCGGCGATCGCACTTGCACCGTCAACCCTCCGTTTTCGTCTTGTTCCCGGCTCGTCCTCAGGCCCAGGTACTGGTTCGTCCTCTCTGCAAGAATCGACTGAACTGAATGAAATAGGAGTAGTAGCAAACACGTTTTTTATTTTATGTACACCGGTGATTTTCCCCATCAGTTAATGTGACCCAAAACGACATTTTAACCCCTCGGCACGAGCGGCATGGCGGTCTTCCTCGGCACGTGGAACGGGCCGGCGGTCAGACTTACCATCACCGTGTGTCGTCGAAGGCGAGGTTGAACATCAGCTGGGAGAAGGAGAGCTCCACCCGGCCGGGCGTTGCTGTTCTCCACGACGACGTTGATAGAGTGGAGAGTTGGATCTTCGGCAGCCGGTCCTGCTGCCGGCCGGTGGTTGATGACTAACGTAGCTAGAGCTTTGAGGTGGAGGTGCAGCTGCCGGCCGGCCGTAGCTGAACGCAGCTGCGCATCCACGTCCAAACTCTAACTTAGGATCGTACGTACGTGAGTGAGTTCGTGGTGGAATGCATATCTGAGCTAGCTAGGGAAGAGATATATAGACCAAGCTGGCTACCCAGCGTGCAGTGGTGGTAAACTGACTATATACACGACGATTATATATTCCCGCATGCGCCTTTTAAGCAAAGGAAGTGCGTGATTCGACGCGAACCGTGCACGGCCGGCACATGCACGCACTGTAGACGCAAACCACTGGGCTAACCATGGTAGACACAAACCACTGTAGCAAACCGATGCGCTGTAGCGTCTACTGTGCCTGTACTGTAGCAAACCGACGCGCTGTAGCGTCTGGACATTGCTATAGCGAACCGGTCACTGTAGCATTTCCTGTTGGTTTTATAAAATTTTGAACATTTCTTTAAAAAGATAAAAAAAGTACAAGTCAAACTTTTTACATACGAACATTTTAAAAAAACTCCAAACAGTTTTGTTGACTGCTATTTGTTTTTCGAAAATTCTGATTATTTTAGGAAAGTGTGAACATTTTTCGAAAATTACCAAAAAAATATTTTTTTGGAAATGGACACATCTTTTGAAATTTTGAACAATTTTAAAAAAACATGAAACACAAACAACTTATGATTTTCTGATTTTTTAATGGAATATTTTTGAAATTCCATAATATTTTTGAAAGTATGAACATTTTAAAAAATCATTGAACAATTTTTACTTTGTGAATACATTTTGAAAACAGATTTTTTTTTGTTAAACTCCAAACATTATTTGAAATTCCCTGAGATATTGATGACAACGTGATTTTTTTTTGAAAATTTCAAAACAGTTTTTTGAAATGGAGCTTTCTTAAAAAGGAGAAGTGGAAAAATAATAACCGGCTCCAGTCGCCCTTCCCTGGGCCGCCCTCTCGGCGGCGCTCCACCATCTCTCCGGCCGCCTGCTAGCCTGTTAGGTCGACATGGCCTCGTCGTTCGCGCCCTTCGTGTCCGCGACAGAAGGACCTGCTCCTTCTTCGTTCCTAGACGCCCTGCTGGGGCAGAGCGATGCGGGTGCTGAGGTAACCTCAATGCCGGTTGTGGGGGAGAGGGAGCAGAGGAGGCGTCTGTAGTCCATAATCATTGTTCCCTTGCCACCTTTTTGCGCCCATGCCTCCTTCCCGCATCGATGAGGGTGGGTGGAAGATGGTGGGGATGGGGAGGTGTCCTCCTTATTACCAGAGACCGTCGCTGCATCCTAAGCCCAAGGCCAGCCAGTTCAAAGAGCTTCTGTTCAAGAAAGTGAGGGGCAAGTGTTTAAGGTGTCTTGAGCCTGACCACCGGATTGCCAAGTGCACCAACAGAGCCAAGTGTCTATTGTGTGGTGAGGTTGGCCACCGAGCTAGGTGGTGCCCGCCGCAGATCCAGCCGCCGGCTGCATCGCCACAGCAGAGATAAGTATTTGCTTTTGTGTGCAGGTGCTATTCACGAGGCTTTGCGTGATTCTCCTATTGGTTCGATAAACCTTGGTTCTCACCGAGGGAAAATACTTATCTCTAAAGTAGTGCATCTTCCCTTCTCTTCAGGAAAAATCCCAACGCAGCTCACAAGTAGCAGCAGGAAAGGCAAGGAAGGAGAGTGGGAAGGAGTGGCCCGAGGGCGGTGCACGGGGAGGTAAGTGGGGGTCGGAGCGGCATGAGGCGGGGCTGGTCGAAGAAGTCATGTGTGACTGCGAAACAATGAGCCCTAGGGGTGCGAGGGTAAATTGGGAGAGGAGTGGCTCATGCTAGGAGGGGGTGAGCGGCTTGCTGCTCGAGTATATGGAAGGTTCGGGGTTTTTGGGAATAGAAGGTTCGTTGAGTAAAAAAACGGTGGGGCTGGTGAAGGAAAATCAGCGGCGGTCCTTGATAAAAGAAAATCGGTGGGAGGGGGGTCGAGGGGGTCCTATCGATCAATGGTGAGGGCATTAAAAACGAAGGAACGACCTACATATTGCCCTTTTAACAGAAGAGATTCCAAACACAAAATAATAGGTTAGTGATAGAAACGTAAAAATAAAAGAAACCAAAAAACGAAACATAGAATTTTTTTTTGGAAAAATGCGTGCATGCGTCAAATGGGCCGGCCAAGTTTGATCGTAGTTGATTTTTTTGGTAAGATTTGATTTGATTTGGTTTGGGTATGAGTAGAAGAAAACTTTGGATTTCGTTGAGATTTTCTTAAGATTTGATTTGAATGAGTTAAGGCATGATGTTGTTTTGGTAATTGTTGATTTGGTTAAGATTTGATTTGATGAGTTAATGCATGACATTGTTTTGGGAAAGTATCGATTGATTTGAATGAGTTAAGTGCCGATTTGATTCATATTTTTTTATTTTGTTTATTTGAATGAGTTAATGCATACAATACTTTTGGTAAGTGCCGATTTGATTGAGTTAATGCACATATCAAATGGGCCGGCCAAATTGACTGCGCTTGAGCGAAAGGTTGCACGCTCACTGGCACATGATAAGGTTGATGGAAAGTGAGGTGAGACTATCAACTTCCCCTTTAGAACTTTCATTCATTGAAGTTCTAGTGACCTTTTAGACTATTTGGTATGCACCACGAAATGCGATCGGCGTACGAATACCAAAGTTAACTGTCAATTTGTTTGTTCATAAACGTTACACAGAGGAAATTCAAAGTGATCATCATCTTATGCTACAACCTAGAGGAAGGCCTCGTATGTCTCTGATCATCATCTTATGCTACAAACTGATCATCATCTTATGATACAAACTGATCATTATCTTCGATGGATCCCGCGCCTCCGCCAGGTTCATCAAAGGTTAATTTTGATAGGGTTGTTGCTAAATCCACTAACAGATGAGAATTTGAAGCAGTGTGTTGTGACGAGCACACCCATCTCATGGGCTCCTCTCAATAATGTTGTTCAATAGAGTTATCAATCAGAGACATTCGAGGCCTACAGACGCATGTAGTACATGTATTCTCGGGAAGGGCTTGCACTTCGTCAAACTCGGGAAGGGCTTGACGTGGAGAGGCACGTTTCGTTATCTGACGGCGTG